TTTTTTTTTTTTTTTTATTTATTTATTTATTATTGTTTTGTTTCATGAAGTGTGCCGGATTGAAGTTGCCTGTGGGCCAGAAATGACCTGCGGCCACCAGTTGAATAGACCTGCTGTAGATGTTTTTTCTTTTTCAACTTTTGGTGTCATGTTTTAGTGTTTTTACTAGTATTTTTTACTACGTTTTAGTATTTTAGTAGTATTTTTTTATTTTAGTAGTTTTTTTTTGTTTTGTTTTTAGTATTTTAGTAGTATTCTTTAGTATTTTTGCTGCAAACTTTGGTATTTCTTTTTTTTTTAATTGGTAAGTCGAGACAGTTCTTGTCGTTCTAAGCATTTCATTGCGTTGTTGAACTTGTGTTGATTTTGCATATGACAAATAAATCAAGCCATCACTGTGAGACATGGGGGACACCTGGACACGTCTCCAGTCCACCACAGGGACACCTAGGGACAATTTAGAGTTACCAGTCAGACATGTTTTTGGTGTGTGGGAGGAAACCGGAGAAAACCCACACATGCACGGAGAGAACATGCAGACTCCACTCAGAAAGGTCCCGGCCAGGATTTGATCAGGCAACCTTCTTGCTGAAATGCAGCAGCTCTACCAGCTGAGGCACCGTGCACAGGAAACCAGTTTTGTTTAGTTTTCAAAATAAAAGTTTTGGGTGCTGACGCTGATGTTTCCTCACAGAGATGCAGCATCTGAAGGAGAAGCAGCTGATGAGCGAGGAGAAGGAGAACCGTGTGGTGAAGGAGAGGAGGGGGAGGAGGCTGCGAGGGAAAGAGGAGGAGAGATGCATGAAGGGAGATGTACAGGTGAATGTGAGTCCTGTCCAGGACACTCAGAGATGATGCTCCTCACTCAAACTCCTCTTCTTCTCCCATCAGGACCTCTCTGCATCTCCTCTGATGTCCAGGAGAGTCCCCAAAGTTCTGAGCAGGAAGAGAAGGAGCAGCGAGCTGGAGGTCTGGTTGAGTGCTGGAGCGGGTGGTGGGTCAGAACCTGCTGCAGGTTGTGGGTCAGAACCTGCTGCAGGTTGTGGGTCAGAACCTGCTGCAGGATGACTTGGGTCTTTGTTGTTTTGTTTCAGGATGTAGTTTTCAATGTAAAGAAGAAGAAGAACAAAGAAAACAGACCGGTGAGGAGTCTCAGCTGATGGACTTCCTGTCTGTCTGTCAGCTGATGGACTGTCTGTCTGTCTGTCTGTCAGCTGATGGACCTCCTGTCTGTCTCAGCTGATGGACTTCCTGTCTGTCTCAGCTGATGGACTTCCTGTCTGTCTGTCAGCTGATGGACTTCCTGTCTGTCTGTCAGCTGATGGACTTCCTGTCTGTCCGTCTGTCAGCTGATGGAATGTCTGTCTGTCTGTCAGCTGATGGACCTCCTGTCTGTTTGTCTCAGCTGATGGACTTCCTGTCTGTCTGTCAGTCAGCTGATGGACCTCCTGTCTGTCTGTCTGTCAGCTGATGGACTTCCTGTCTGTCTGTCAGCTGATGGACTTCCTGTCTGTCCGTCTGTCAGCTGATGGACTTCCTGTCTGTCTGTCAGTCAGTTGATGGACTTCCTGTCTGTCTGTCAGTCAGTTGATGGACTTCCTGTCTGTCTGTCAGTCAGCTGATGGACTTCCTGTCTGTCTGTCAGTCAGCTGATGGACTTCCTGTCTGTCTGTCTGTCTGTCAGCTGATGGACTTCCTGTCTGTCTGTCAGTCAGCTGATGGACTTCCTGTCTGTCCGTCTGTCAGCTGATGGACTTCCTGTCTGTCTGTCAGTCAGCTGATGGACCTCCTGTCTGTCTGTCTGCCAGCTGATGGACTTTCTGTCTGTCTGTCAGCTGATGGACTTCCTGTCTGTCCGTCTGTCAGCTGATGGACTTCCTGTCTGTCCGTCTGTCAGCTGATGGACTTCCTGTCTGTCTGTCAGCTGATGGACTTCCTGTCTGTCCATCTGTCAGCTGATGGACTTCCTGTCTGTCTGTCAGTCAGCTGATGGACTTCCTGTCTGTCTGTCTGTCAGCTGATGGACTTCCTGTCTGTCTGTCGGTCAGCTGATGGACTTCCTGTCTGTCTGTCTGTCTGTCTGTCAGCTGATGGACTTCCTGTCTGTGCCTCTTCTTCTGTGGTGTAGGATCAGGAAGACGGAGCTCTGCAAACGATTGAAGAACTGGTCTGTAACGTTCCCTCAGGCCTGAGTAGTCAAGGTGAGTGATTCTGAACAATCCAGGGTTCTGGTTCTGGTTCTGGTTCTGGTTCTGGTTCTGGATGGTCAGCAGAGGCTTCTGTGGCTGCAGGACTGTTTCTGTCCTCAGAGGGACAGTTTCACCAGAAATCATGATCAACAGAAATAAAATGTTTTTATTGATGGACTTGGATTGTTGTCTCTGCTCTGATTAACAACCTGTGTCCATGGTAACCATGGTTACCGGTTGTCTGATTGATGTGGACAAACACTTGTCTTTTGTCTCTGCAGCTGAAACCGGCCCCCTTCGCTGCACGAAGGAGGAGGCCGTCACCGCGGTAACCAAACCCCGAAGAGGAAAGAAGAAGCTGGTCAGCGTCTCGTCCCTGCTCCTGGACTCTCCGCACACAGTGAGACGCAGGTCTTCTGGTCTTTGTGTGGACCTTTGGGGGTGTGGGCTGTAACTTGTCTTTCTGTTTCCTGTCAGACGTCTGAAGGAGTGGAGGAGGACAAGGAGAGCGATCACTTGATCATCAAGAGGCAGCTGCGCTCCAAAACCTGCAGGAAGTGACATCACAGACGTCCCACCACCAAGGCGCCACTGTACACATTTCAGTTTGACCGTTTGTTTTTATGTCGTGTCTTTAATAAAGAACGTAAAACAGAACCAGCGTGTTGGGTCAGGAACCAGAGGAGTAGAACCGAAGGGTTTCAGTCAAATAACCCAGACCTGATCCTGGGTGAACAAAACAACCACCGTGGTGCATTCAGGGTCACCTCATCTGAAATGGTGTGGTGTGTTCAGAGTCACCTCAGCATTACAAACAACCAGTTTGGTGCATTTAGGGTCACCTCAGTATCGGAAACAACCACCGTGGTGCGTTCAGGGTCACCTCATCTGAAATGGTGTGGTGTGTTCAGAGTCACCTCAGCATTAGAAACAACCAGCGTGATGCATTTAGGGTCACCTCAGTATCGGAAACAACCACCATGGTGCGTTCAGGGTCACCTCATCTGAAACGGTGTGGTGTGTTCAGAGTAAGCTCAGCATCAGAAACAACCAGCGTGATGCATTCAGGGTCCTGATGGTAATCTAAAAATTGAATTTAAAATTTTATTTTTAAGTTTTCTGTGAGGATAAACTAAATGAGGTAAAACATAATTTGGATTTTCAGAACAAAATTCTAAGAATTTCAATTGTATGATAATCTGTAAAGAAATAATCTGAAGAGTTTCAGTCGGAGTTTAGACTCACCACAGAAGTGAATCGGCACTAGTAAAAGTAACTAATGATATTCTCATGGTCTCAGACAATGGACTGGTGTCTCTACTGGTCCTGTTAGACCTCAGTGCTGCATTTGATCCAGTTGATCACAATATTTTACTACAGAGGCTTGAATATGATGTTGGGATTACAGGAACAGCTCTAAAATGGTTTAAATCATATCTATCTGATAGATTCCAGTTTGTAAATGTAAATAATGAATCTTCTTCATACACCAAAGTTAGTCATGGAGTTCCTATAAGCAGCAGGATGCAGAGGGATGGGTTTGATTCCAGCTAGTAAACACGGCAGTGGCAGCATCATGATATGGTGTCTTCACTCTCAGTGGACACAAGTTCTGCAGTACTCATGTTCTGTCCCCGTTCACATTCATGGGGGGTCCACGTCAACAGGAGTGAGACGTGGTTGAACGTGGTCACACTCCCAGGGGACACCTCATTCATGAGCTTACTGACCCACCACATCTGGACAGCTGTCCCATGGAAAGTCCAAGCTGAGGTCATGATGGTGACAGTGTGATGTGTCACACAGCAGGGTTCCTGTGGACAGAGGACGTCTTAATGAGGACATTTTTCTTCAGTTTGGTAATCTTCAGCAGACTGGGTCTCAGATGTTTAACCCTTTAAACTCAGACTGAACCAGACAAAAACCACAGGACAGCTGTAGGTTCTTCAGATCTTTATTTTCTTATAATTAGGATAAGTAATAACAGATTTCATCACAACAACCTTCATGTCCACATTTTGTCCTCTCATCTCGTCTGATTGGTTCTGATTCCGGTTCACGTTGGCGTCATTAAAACTCGGCCGTACAAACGCAGCTGGATATTTATCTTTGTAGAAAAATAAGCTCTAAGTGCTTCTCACACTTTAATACTGTCTCTGCTGGAAATGTTCCGGCTCGATGCTGTCGGACCCAAACCGCCGAGAAAACACGGTCCTGACAGAACCAGTCGGGAATTTACAAAAACATTTAACAACCTTCTGGTCAGATCTGGAACAAGCCTTCGTTTAGAGCCGCACCTTTAGAAGTTTTCTAAGTGCAGCTCATTTTACAAATCTTTTTTAAAAGATTTATTTATTTTATCAATACTGGCACTGGCCTAGAGCAAGAAGCTTTGCTGTAAAGATCCTGAGGAGGAAGGTTTTAGTAAAGACTCAGAAACAGAACAACAACAAAAAAACACTTCATGTTTAGATAAAAATACAGAGTGGGGAAAAAAAAATGAACTAAAACCAATATCAGAAAGTTTAAAATCATTCTGGATGTTTTTACATTCAAATGAAGCAAACTGTTTATCAAAAGATGCTTTTAAAGAGCTCTGAAAGCTGAGACTTCTTCAGGCTCCTTCCCTCCCTCTCTGCTGTGCTGCAGCTCTGGACTAAGCTCCTCCCACTGTATAGGGAGGAGGGTTGCCATAGAGACGTGGGATGGAGGCCAACAGAAGTTAGTTCTATTTGTTCTGAGTGAATCTGTAAGTTATTACTTCTACCATCACAGAGCAAGAGGTTGTTTTAGAGCTTTTTAAAAAGCGGGCAAGGAAATAATTCAAATGTCTTTTGATTATTTTATTAAAGACAATGACGATGAAAATAAAAAAAGTTGAGGATTTTTCAGGTTTATAGGTTTTAAAGTAAACTTTGTTTAATTCAACAAAATTTTAGTTTTATTGGCCTAAAACAAAAATCTGTTAGACTAATCAGTTGAATCTGATTTATTTATTAAAAATCTTCCATGACCCAGAATGAGCTTTCACTAACAAGCAGATAACTGATTCAATTAACAGGCAGATAATTGGTTTAATTAACGAGTAGAAACAGGTGAGATGAAGGAGATAAAGAAGCGAGGGACGGGACAGTGGAGGGTCTGGTTTCTGGGCAGCTGACAGGTAAGATATTTTCTCCTACTGTGGGGTTTTTTTTACCATCAAACTCCAAAGATTTTAAAACTTGTTAGAAGCTTGATCTGCTGTGAAGACTGGACCCAGCAGTTTAAAGGTGCATTCACACAAATCTGCTCTAAAGATGCTGAACACCAATGAAGGCCTGATCTGGGATCAATAATCAGATTTACTGATCAGCTGATAGAAGCAGTGAAGTGTAAATGCAGCTTTTCTTCTCTGGAACTGATGTTCTAGAAAACGCCATATCCGTCGGCGTGCCGCGCCGCCACAGCAAATGCAGGGTAACCTTCGAAGGTGGTGTAGGCAGTCAGGTCTTGACCCAGAGAGGCCGCCTGCTTCAGCTGGGAGGCAACCACGGACGATGCCGGGCTCGCCAGAGCAAAGCCTGCAGAAACAAATGTTATCTGACTGGGTGTTTTATCCAACGTTCAGCTGTGAGGCTGTTAGTGGGTCGTTGACAGGAGAGTTAGTTGTTCTGGGTACGAACCTTCACATACCTGGGAAGGTTACCGAGGCCACGGCCGCTGCAGCAGCACAGCTGCCTTCAGCGGCACCCTCAGTCTGCAGGCCGAGGATCTGCAGCGTGTGTTCGGCTGCGTGGACTTTAGCTTCTTCGACAGACGCACACAGCTTGGCAGGAGTGAAGGGATGTCTGCAGAGATGCAGCACCAAACGAATGTGGATCAGAACCAGCTGAGGTCTTTGAACTAAACAACAGTCTGGTTCATTACATGAAACTTACTTCAGTCTAATTGTACTTCAGGTAATATTTACCCACTGATTGGCAGGTTTTAGTTGTAAAAAGTTTGTCTACTGTCAGACCGATTGGGCCAAATGACTGACCAGAGTTTGACCTCCTGAATCCAGTCAAGACTGGTCAGACCAGTAAAAACCAGTAACACTCACGCTGTGTGGAGCTGAGAGGCCAGGGCTGGGATGGTGATCTTATAGAGGAACAGCTGTCTCTGGTCTGGACTGATGGCTGAGTGGAGCTGATAGACCGGTTGGCCCCAGTTATTCTTCTGACACAACTCCTCCAGAACCTGAAACAGTTCAGGTCCAAACTGGTTCATAAGGTGTTCAAAACATCACTGAGCTGAACAAAAGGTGAAAATCCTCGACTAATTCATTAACAAACTATTGTCAGCGATTTAAAAAGTTTGTCAGGGGTTTGTTTGGTCTTGGGTGGGTCATGTTACCTAGTCAAGGCTCAGGCATGTCGTGTTACCTAGTCAAGGCTCAGG